GCCAGTGTCACTCTAATCTTCAAATAGGGCAAGAAGGAGGATCTGGGAACCTGTTCAGCCTCACCTCTGTCCCCGGAAAGGTGATGAAAGAGCTTACTCTGGATGTCATCTCAAAGCAATGGATGGAAAGAGGGATATCAAGATTGGTCAACATGGATTCACCAAGGGGAAATCATGCTTGACCAATCTAATTGCCTACATGAGGTCTTGACCAGATGGATAGACAAGGAGGAGCAGTAAGTTCTGCCAACCTTGACTTCACCAAGGCTTTTTACAATGTCTCTCATAACATCTTTGTAGGTAAGCTTAGGAAGTGTAGGATGGGTGGATGAACAGTGAGGTGAACTGAGAACTGGGCTGGCTGTTTGTCAGAGCTCAGTGCTTTGTGATTATCAACAGAGACTTTTTAGAAGCCTGTAACTAGTGGTGATCCCCAGGAGACATAGAATCATAAAAGTGCTCAGTTGGAAAAGACATTAAAGATCATCGAGTCCAACCATGACCTAACCATATTACCCTAGCTCTAACAACCCACCTGAACACCACATCCAAAAGGTTTTTAAACACATTCAGAGATGGTGACTCAACCACCTCTGTGGAGAGTCTATTCCAGTGCTTATCAACCCTTTCTGTAAAGAAGTTTTCCTGGTATCCAACCTGAACCTCCTCTGGAGCAACACGAGGCCATTTACCTTATCCAGTCACCTGTCACCTCTGAGACCAGCCCTGCTCTTTCTGCAATCACCTTTCAAGTGCTGGAAGAGAGCACTAAGGTCTCCCCTCAGCCTCCTTTTCCCCAGACTAAACAGTCCCCCAGTTTCTTCAATTGCTCCTCATAGGGCATATTCTCCACACCCTTCACAAGACTGGTTGCCCTTCTTTGGACTGGCTCCAGTACCTCAATGTCCTGTCTGTACTAAGGTGCCTAGAAATGAACACAGTACTCAAGGTGGGCCTCATCAATGCCTAGTACAGGGGCAGAATGATTTCCCTAGTCCTGCTCGTGACACCATTCTTGATACAGTTGGGTCTGGTCTTGTTCAATATCTATTTTCACCAATTATCTGGATTGACTTGGATGAAGGAATAGAATGCAACCTCAATAAGTTTGGTGGTGATAAACTCCAGGAAGTGTGGCTGACACACCAGAAGGCTCTACTGCCATTCAGTGAGACCTGGACAGGCTGGCGAGTTGGGTGGGAAGAAACTGTCTGATTCTGTGGCAGACACCATTCTTCCTACAGACACTGTCAAGTCCTGGAAAAGTACGTTACTAGAAAATTGCCTTAATCTGCACTAACTTTGTAAGGACCTATGGCTTTGTATGCACAAAGCAACTGCCAAAGCAGTGGCTGTGCACAGTAGGGTTCCCTTCTTCTGTCCACATTTTCCTGAAAGCATCTCACCATACTTTCTGCCATGCTAACTGAACTAACATGCAGACCACATCCCATGAGATTTGAAAGCAGGCTTTTGTACATGCATTGTAATTGGAAGTAAGACACTAAGTCAAAAACAATAAATGAAGTTTTAAGGTGACTTTATTGTGTTTTAACCTAAATTTGTGCCATCTGCATTCAAATACATTCCTACTGCTTCGCAAGTGAGTACATGAAAAATGAGCCTCAGAAAGTGTGCTGAATACTTTTTAATATTATGATGCTTATAGCTTGGGTATCAGTTTTATATCCCAATCAGGGGGGACTCTGAGCCTACTGTCTAGACCTGTAGTGAGTTATTGCTCCCCTCATTCAGATAGATCCAAAGGAACTGCGTCTTCATCTGACAGGATCATCAGGCCATGATTAAATATGAACGACTTGTCTTCTGATGGGCACCAGAAACCACCTTGAGTTCTCAAAAATTACATCCAGTTTCCTCAACAGAGTCATCATTTGAAAGAGAAAGATCATCTGAGACAATATGATTAAGTAGGGCTTACAACGTGCTGCTGCTGCAGCAGCTGCACTCCACCCTTCAGCACAGTTATTCCCACTCCAAGCTTTAGATCACTTCAGAATGTTGCCAATACCTTCTTCAGACTCTTAAAACTTAATGAGTGTTTGGAATTTTTTCAGAGTCAGCTCTACCTTTTTAAAAAACAATCACCAATAGGCCCTTTCAGGACAAGAGAATATCACTAACTTTAAACTGCAGATTACTAAGCCATTTAATATAAATATTTTAAGAGAATTGCAAAGACAACACAGTAGAAGAGCATAAAATCTCTGGTTGTTATTAGCTGTGCCTAAAATACAGTGTATGGAACAAAGTGTTTTCTCAACTTCTTTCAGATCTCTTTCTAATCATTTGAATTCTACTTACCTTTTTGCATCTGCACAGCATGCAGACACGCAGTACAAATACCTATGAAGACAAGTGACAAACTTCCTTGATATGAAATATCTACTGACTTGCGTATGTACACTTCAAAAGCAGAAACAGACACACAAGTAACAATGCTAAGTATGAGCATCTAGTTCATTGTGGAGATAAATATTTTCAACACACAAAGCTCAACAATATCACTCATAAATTCGTGGCAGGTTGTGGATGCTCTGTCCCTGAGGTGCTCAAGACCATGTTGGATGGGGCCCTGGGCAGCCTGGTCTTGTACAGAACTGGAGGTTGGTGGTTCTGTCTGAGGCAGGGGAATTAGAACTTGATGATCCTTGGGGTCCCTTCCAACCCAAAGCATTTTATGGTTCTTTGATTCTGTGATTCTATAATAATTCTTCCTCTCAACGGGGACTTTGAAATTCAAGCTTTGTCTCAATTTGTTTGCATTTCTGAAGTGCCCTCCTGTAGGGTGACATATTCCCGATCCAATTCCTGTTCAGCTTCTGTCTGATTCAATTCCACTCAACTCACCAGACATTAGAAAGTATGACATGTTACAATATGAATGCTTCTCAAGGTTTCCCAGAGATTACCTCATCTCTGTGTAATAAAATACCACGTATTCCATTCCTTCTGATCTGTCTGGGTTTTTGCAGAGAACAGCACAACATGGCTCTTGCAACATTTACAGCAGCATTGTTTTCAAAGGCTAACACTGAGAATAAAATGCTCCTTAGTGTGGGCATAGAGTGGTGCAGATAAAGATTTTCAGAATAGTCATCATGCTTTTCTCTTTTCAAGATATCTTACAAAAAAATATTAACTCTGAAGCTTGTGAAACCACAAGAACCTTGAGATTAAAAGTCCTCAAAGTAGGCATTTAGGCTCCAGTGTGACTCTTCTCTTTAGCAAGATAAAGCCTCAGCAACTCTCAAAGGTCTTCCAGAACCAAACTACTTTGTTTAGTCTGGGGTACAAGGTAATAAAGCCATAAAGGAAGGAAGTGAAACTGAGTAAATTATTCCACAAGATCCATAAAAATACATGTCAAGGTGGGAGAAAAAATATGGACTTTAAGGTAGCATTTGAGAGAAAAACCATAACTGGAGAAAATTTAAAGAATATATGAGATAGCTCAAGTGTAGCACTGTGAATAGATTCAAGTTCACATGTACAGACTGGGGTTCTGGCAGCTGTGTCCATGATTAATAATAGTTTGGTTCCCATAGAAACATAAGTGGCACACAGGAAAACTTCATTTCTTCAAATCTTCCCTAATGATGACTGGAGACCAGCTTTCAGAATACCAGAGAAAATTATGATAAAGATTTCTTTTTTGTCCAAGAGTAAATCTTCCTCAAGAGGTCAATCATGCAGGATGGGTTTTAGATTTGCAGATAATAGGACTCATTTCCACAGACTTCTGGTGTGCGAATATGCAATCTGTACAAAAAGAATGCCCAACAATATTTTGAACACTTCTTTGATTATCGGTATTGACATTTCAGAAAAGGCAGAAAATCACATAAGAAATTTGTCTTTCCCATCTACAGGCAGAAGGTTCATTTGCACCCTGAAGGTATAAGATGTATATACATATGTCTTTGAAAATCTTATTTATCTGAGAAAGGAAATGTCTTTTGCAAAATCCAGACTTGGGGATCAGTGGAAAAAATCCGTGTATAAGATTGAGCTATGACTTTTACAAGTACGGGCATACAATCTGCTGAAATTGCACAGATGCCCCTATGAGTAGTACAGTCAGGGCAGTAGTACAAATTCTGGGCTGTAAGAAACCGGATGAAGTTCCACAAAAGTGTAGAGTCTTGCACCTGGGAAGGAATAATTGCCTGTATCAATACAGGCTGGGGGACGATCTGCTGGAAAGGAGCTCTGCAGAGAGGGAGCTGGAGATCCTGGTGGAAGAAAGGTTGGCCGTGAACCATCAGTGTGCCCTGGTTGCCAAGAAGGCCAATGGGATCCTGCAGTGCATTAAAAGGAGCGTGGCCAGCAGGTCACAGGAGGTGATCCTCCCCTTCTAGTCAGCGCTGATCAGGCCTCACTTGGAGTACTGTATTCGGGTCTGGGGTCTGTGGTACAAAAAAGACAGGGATCTCCTGGAAAGAGTCCAATAGAGCCACAAAGATGATAAAGGTCCTGGAGCATCTTCCCTGTGAGGAAAGGCTGAGTGAAATGAGTCTATTCTGTGAGAAAAGAAGACTGAGAGGTGATCTAACTAACATTAATAAATAGCTTTTATGTAGGAAAGAAAAAGAGGACAACCTCTTTCCAGTGGGTATAGGACAAGGAGAAATGACCATAAACCGAAGTATAGGAGGTTCCACACCAAATGTGAAAGAACTTCTTCACAGTAAGAGTGAGGGAGCACTGGAATGGGCTGCCCAGAGACATTATGCAGGGTCCTTCTCTGGATGCCTACCCGCACAGCCTACTGAAGGGAGCTTGCTTTGGGAGTTGGACTTAATGATCTCTAGAGGTCCTTTCCAACCCCTACAATTCTGTGAATCCATAATTCTGTGAATCATTGTCTTGTTTGCTGGCAAATTTCTCTCCCCTCCCCCCTCCAATTCCTTGAGTTAAATTGAAATTAAAATAAATAAAATCAAACAATTTAAGCAAATTCACTTTAATATCTCGGGTGAACCTAATGAGGTTCAACACGGCAAAGTGCAAGGTTTTGCATTTGGGCCGGAAGAACCCCAGGCACCCGTACAGGCTGGGAGGAGTGGTCCTTGAGAGCAGCTCGGCAGAGAAGGACCTGGGGGTCCTGATGGACGAGAGACTGAACATGAGCCAGCAGTGCGCTCTGGCAGCTCGAAAGGCAAATGGGATCCTGGGCTCCATCAGGAGAGGGGTGGTCAGCAGGGACAGGGAGGTGATTGTCCCTCTCTACTCGGCTCTTGTGAGGCCCCACCTGGAGTACTGTGTCCAGGTGTGGAGCCCTCAGTACAAGAAAGACACAGAGATTTTGGAAAGGGTCCAGAGGAGGGCGACTAAGATGATCAGGGGGCTGGAGCACCTCCCCTATGAGGACAGGCTGAGGGAGTTGGGCTTGTTCAGCCTGGAGAAGAGAAGGCTGCGGGGTGACCTCATTGCAGCCTATCAATACCTGAAGGGAACCTACACCCAGGAGGGGAGTAAACTCTTCAAAAGGGCTGACAACAGCAGGACTAGGGGAAATGGATCCAAGTTGAAGGAGGGAAGATTTAGGTTGGATGTTAGGGGGAAGTTCTTCACAAGGAGAGTGGTTAGGCCCTGGAACGGGCTGCCCAGGGAGGTTGTGGATGCCCCGTCCTTGGACGTGTTCAAGGCCAGGTTGGACGGGGTCCTGGGCAACCTGATCTGAATGTGTACGTTTGGTGGCCCTGCTAGGCAGGGGGGTTGGAACTACATGATCCTTGAGGTCCCTTCCAACCCAGGTGATTCTGTGATTCTGTGATTCTGTAATATGTTCTTGTTTCAATTATTTGGGTTTGCACAGGGCTAAAGCTCTGTGTTCTGATCTTTCAAGTTAGGAATTCTATTTAGGGAACAATTTATTCACTGGAGCAAAGCAAATCTTTGATTATCCTCACATTGTGATGTTACCCACATGATTATAGCCTGAGTACTATTTTTCTTGTTAATAGGGGGTCTGTGGCATTCAGATGTTCAAATCAATACCAAAACTAATTTGTATTGATGTCCATTTTGCAAACTTAGGATGTCTGGCTTTTCTACTGGTAGGAGAGCACTCTTTGGGTAATGCTACTCACCCAGAGGAATTATCTCCCCAGTAAGAAACTATTTAAAGATTAGTGACCATCTCAGTCGGTTCTGACAATGCTGCTCAATGCACAGGATGTTCACTTTTTTGGTTCATGGCTTTTAACACAAAGCTTTCGTACCACTTGCAATCATCACATCGCAGCTGGAGAAAACAGCCAATAGAATAACAACAAAAGATGACTTATCAGCTGAACAACAGACTAATCTCTAAACAGCTACACTGAACATCCTCGCTTAACTGTTAGATAGTACTATTGTTGATGTTCAAATTTCATTTCTGTTGAAATCCACTTATGTTTTATTTTATGAAGAGTGAGAATAAAACACAAGTTCTTTTCTGAAGCTATGTAAAATAATAACATCTCTGGTATCACAATTTGGACATTCGCTTGAGGTGTAAGTCTCACAACAGTATTGATCCACAACATTTAGTGGAGAAGTAGGGCACTGCAACCACACATACAATTTTTTAAAAAATATTTTCAGTTGCTTAAGCTATTCTTGGAAATTGCTTCCAAAACATTATGCGTGTATCAACAAACATATGTACAAATGTTGACATATTTATCAACATTTTAACTCAGTCATATGAACCATGGAGCTGTTTTGTGGAATCCGTGTTATAATGCTGATATTTGGTTTCACTTCATTTTATCTGGAGGTCATTCCTACAACATATTAAAATTTTCTTTTGGACAGGAAGGTATGCCTCTTTTCCTTTGATTTGTCAATGAAATACAGTAAAAGCAAATATTTCTCTTTTAAAGTAAGATAATTGAGATTAGAGCTGTGTGACTATTTCATTTACTCAGGACGATCTGCTTTTGTTTTTCTTCATTTGGATACCAATTAAAAGTAGCTTTAAATTAAAACAAAAATTTACCAAAAATAGAGGAAAGTCTAGTGGGTTTTTGTGTTTGTTTGTTTGTTTTTTAGTTTTTCCTTTTTGCTTTAAGAATGAATGTATTTTTAATTTATTAAATCATGGTTATGTTTTCTGGCCTAACAAACTACTTTTCACCCCTTTAAATCTAACTGACATAAGAATTCAGTTTTTCCTTGGTTAAAATATCCATTATCTTCTTCCTCCCTCTTGGTGATATAACTTGTCAAAAACAGGTTAGAATTGAGAAGACAAAGCAGAATTCCTCACAAAAACCCTATACATAAAAAGAAAAAAACAAAAACAGAAAGAAAGAAATAGGTCAACAAATAGCTTTTCACATAAACTGAAAGATTCAAACCACAGTTCTGGGCTCCAGAATAGATGAAATCTCCTTCATTTTCAAGGTTTGATGAAATAAAAAATTTCATCTGGGCCCATGTCTAGTTGCAATCCCACTGTGGCTGGACTGTACACTTCAGTTATTTTAATTGAGTAACCATAAAACTAAAACAAGAATGGTCTAAAGGTAGTTAAAATATATAATAACACTTGGTGATGTATTACTACTTATAGGCTTAGGTTTTTTTTACATTATTGTAAATTATTGTTCATAGGAATGTAAAAGGCAAATAAAATCTAACAGTAACTGTTGAAATCAAACAATTACTGCAGACTGGCCCTTAAAGGAAAACTGCATTGTAATGTAAAATCATTTGCGGTTATTATATTTAATTAATCTGGAAAAGAAAATTAAACCAGACATTAAGTTTCATACATGTAATATCCTCAAATTTTCCTGAGAGCAAAAGTAGTTGAGTGTATTGTCTGTATGTTAGGCTCATGGTTGATCCAATAAATACTTCAAGAAATTTAATATTAAAAAAAAATTTTAAAAATGATTAAGGGAGAAAAATAAAAGTTACAGTCTAAATACAGATTCTGTTAAATGTACCAATGCACTTAGCTTCAACTCTCAGCTTTATTGCATATATTTGATAAAATTAAGCAAACATACCAGTCCTTGAAAGATCTGGGTCTAATTATATGAGATACTTTGGGTGAGGGCTACTCTAAAGTACAGTAGGCTAGCTATGTAAAGTTTCCACAATTTGCATCTGTCTAAATGTTGTGAATACTCAGATACAGTGAAACAGAATCAGGGATTTTCAAAATGCTCTGGAGCTCATTTTTAGGATGGATTATATAGTAAATATTTCATTAAGCCTCTGAGGTAATACAGCAGCAATCACCTGTAGTGTTCCTCCGTATATTCAAAGTGAAACATCCTTCTAGCACAATGCCTGGCTTGTAATGTTAAAAAGCCCATAGTCCCTCATAGAGAAGGTAAAAAGCACACAGTACTAACTCCTTTTAACAGAAAGCAAGAATCTTTGTTTTTAACCAGTATTTAAACTTTGCACATTCAAATGTATTGCACTGGAGAAGGGTGGGATGCAGAGAAGGGAACAGGGCTATCACTTTCTTACATAAAAGAAAAGGAATCAAATTACTTTCTGTATGAACTCCAGATGGTCTTTCCTTATCTGAGAAAACTGTAATAAAAGCAGAAAGTCACCAAGCAGTTTTGTTGAGTCGAAGGCCATTCATTTCAAAAGAGATTGAATTCTGTTTCTAGTGCTGTTGAGATCACTTCTTTCTTCTAAGAGTTGCTCAGACTAATGCAGTGAAAATCAATGCAAATGAGAACTATTAAACATAGATAAAATATTAGCAGTTCTCGTGGCAAGAAGTCTTTTGGAGCCTAACATACTAAGCAGCCCACTTCTTGTCACAGACACTTATTCATTTCATGAACAAGTGAGTTCTGAGTGAATATAGGATGAACACACTGACTTCAGCCCCAGCAAGCACTTATCACTGCTAGTCCAAGAACTGACCAGCAGATTTTAAACTGGCAGATTTTAAAGGAGCCACTGTTGAAGAACCACATGGAAATAACCTGAAAGTTCCCTATATTTGCTCTTAAAATTTGTTTCCAAGATTGCTATCTTGCTATCAGGCAGTTTACTTCCTTACATTCCCTTCTAAGCTGTGTTCATTATTCCCTAACAGTTAACAAACCAAGATCAAACATAAAAGCTTCCATTTAAAGGATATGTCTATAAGAGAAAGAACAACAAGGGATGATAAATAATAGAGTAGACAAATTCGCAGATGGCCTTAGACCAATCCCAATGACATCATATAGACCTAATTAAATTCTAGGATGGTCTTTACATAGGTAAGAGAGACATTAAGAGAGACACAGCAAGAATAGGAGTCCCCTGACACTGTAATCTCAATTGCAGTATGAATGACAGAGAAAAAATATTTCTTAAAGCCTATGTATTTTCAGAAGGATCACAGTTTATAATCAGAAAGCCAGATGTATGCCCCCTGCAATCAACCTCTGTTTTAAAATGTTATTGAATAATAAATCAGAAACTAAAAGTTTTTCAGTCAGATTTAGCTCCTGACTATGTGTTGGAATCAGAAAAAGATGCATGTATAACTTCATACAGAGCTGTCAGCAGCAGTAAGCAAACAAATTCCTGATACCTGCCACATTTTACACTGGCAATAGCACTCAGCGAGTGCCGCTTCTCCCTCTGAAGAGCCTACCATGCATGATGTTTGTTGGGTTACAAGGTAATTGAACCAGAAACAAACTAGGAAATTCAGAGTCCCCTTTATTTTATGATCACAAAATTCAACAGAAAATCTATTTCTACAGTAAACTTAAATGAGATAAAATTTTCATCATTTTAGTTTTACTACACATAATTTTATGAAGTTTTCACATTGCAAAATCATTAAGGAATTTGGATATTCTCCAAAGCCAAGTTTGAAGAAAAACTCATTCTCAGATGAAGTGCAGTCATCAAGCTGTTCTCATGACATCTTTGGCTATCTAATACGATATTTGCCATCAGAACTTTTTTCTAAATTTGTATGTGGGCAGCAGAGTACAAGAAGGTGAGTGATTAGACACCAAGATATCTGTGATACTTTTTTGGTTATTTTGCCCTCTCATAAACATGGAACCCAGTCTACAGTCTTAACAAGCTATTTTTATTCATTCATAGATATTTTCTCTTAGATTCTAAACCAGTTTAAAATTAGTTTTTAAGAAAGGCACAGCACCTTGGTTGAGATAACCTATGTATGTACAGAATGGAGAAGAACTCACTTGAGAGAAGCCCTGCCAAGAAGGACTTGAGGATTCTGGTGGATGAGAAGCTAGATATGAGCTTGCAGTATACACTTGAGACTAAAAAAAGTAAATTATTTCCTGGGCTGCATCAAATGAGGAGTGGCCAGCAAGAAGGGGGGGAGGAGACTGTCCCCATCTGCTCTGTTGAGGGAGATGAGCTTATTCAGCATGGAGAAGGCTCCAAGGAGACGTGACTGCAGCCTTCCAATACCTGAAGGGAGCTTGTAAATGGGAGGGGGACTTTTTACACATTCTGATAGTGACAGAACAAGGGAGAAGGGCCCTAAACTAAAAAAAGGAAGATTTAGGTTAGATGTTAGGAGGAAATTTTTCAGTCAAAGTGGTGAGGCACTGGCAAAGGATGCCCAGAGAAACTGTGGATGACCCATCCCTGGAGGTATTCAATACCAGACTGGATGGTTGGCAATCTGATCTTATGGGTGGCAGCACTGCCCACAAAAGGCAGTTGGACTGGATGATCTTTAAGATCACTTCCAAATCAAGCCAGTCTATGATTCAATGATTCCAAACACAAGGGGCTTTGCTTAAAGATCTCTTAATAATACATTTTCCAAACTCTTTCCACAGGACACCTGAACATTGTGCCTTAATTTGCAGTCACAGACGAAATCTGTCACAATATGTACTCAACAGTATGGGCAAAAACTGACAGTAAAGGAGGAAAGAATAAGGTCATCAGAATCTGCCATAGGCAAAAGAGGAGAGAGTCATTTCTTCATGAAAGCTAGAAAGTTAACGGAGTTAGTTACTAAAACTAACTGATTCCAGGAATTTTAACAAAGTCTTTTCAGTACATACTCTGTTCTTTCCATGAATATACCATAAGAACTGTATGTGCAAGAATAAAGTTCAAAAGGTAGTTAGGACACTGATGCACTTTGCTCTACATTGATCTCTTGCTTATGATTACTCAGTTATCTGAGTAATCTACAACTCAGTCTCTGTAAGCATTGTAAAAAAAAATATGTTTTTCCACAAAAAGAATCTCTGGACAAACAATATGTATTTTATCTGGAAGTAAAAGGGTAAAAGAGGACTTCATAGAAAATATTTTAATATTTAAAGGACATTTCCTGCCTTAACATAACATCTAATTCAAGAAACACTAGATTCGGTGATTACTGTTTCTGATTGTGCCCTAAACAGTAACAAGAATATTGTCATAAATCTGAAACATTTCTGTGAAAAACTTTACACCTCATAAATAAATTGCTAGAGCTACTTACAAAACCAAATGCATGTTGCCTAATAAGTTTGCATGTGTAAAGTGTGATTTATTGTAGACACAACTCAAAGAGATTCAGTGAATATTTTGCCCTATGAGTACTAATAATATCAAAAATGATTTACAGGTATTTCATGGTTGAAGAGTTTATAAATACATTTGCCTAGGTTGTTGCATTTCCTTCCACTCTGTTCCCTTAGGGATACTTGAGTAAGGTAAAAGAAATTGGAAGCTAACACCAGATAATGAAAGGTTATAGAATACAGTCTTCCCTTCATGCAAGCACAAAGCTATGTCATTCATCGTAAAAGATTTAAAGAGTTTTATAGTATTTTTTGTTCATTCATCAAAATTTCTGAAGGCAAAAATTAACTTTCTGATGAGAATGTTCACCCAAATTTCTTGTTTCCACAGAATAAAGAAAAGTGTTTCTCTAGTTCAGATTTTTTAAGATTAAACGATTACTTACATTTTTTTTTCCAGAAAAGTTTGCTTTTAGAAGTGCCAATAAACAAATAAATATATTGAAACTACAGATTTGAATACTTCAGTTTCTCCTTTTAAGATTCGTTTTGCCCAGCTTGAACTCCTGAAACGGTTCTCCACTTCAGAAAATCACTTCCCAGTTATTCATCACTTTCTAAGTACTTTGTGTTGAAGACAAAAACATTACCAATCGTTGGAAAAAAACACAGTCAAGGAATTAATTATGGAAGACAATATCTCTAAAAAGTGTAAGCAGGGATCCTGAGAGAAAAATGTTCTAGATATAAGAAGATATGACTGTTATTTCAGTATAAGGAATCTTAATATAAAAATAATGCAAAGTTTTGGCATTCTGGCATTAACTCTGGATTTTATTTACATAATTTTACATTTTTAATTTCAGATGACCCAAGAATCTGCAAGACATGTGTTCCGAACTACTACATGTGAGTATAGCCTTCCATGCAAAAATATGTGCTTAACTACATATATCACATAAATCAGTACAAAAATGACACGTATCTTGTCCCTCTCCTACCAAGTATTGCCTATCCAAGAACAGTAACTGTGCAAAAAGCTTGAGAAATGCTGAAAAACTAACCAATCATACACAGTCAAGACCATTTACAGCTCTACAGCTCAGATATTGATGTGATCTTTGTATAGACAAAGAGCAATGAACAGGAGGTGTAGACAAGTAAATTACTTTTTCTGGGTGTAGAACTAGTGTGCACTTATTGTGTTATGTGTTTTACTAAAGCAGGAACTTAAAAATGTAAAAATATTAAGCAAGGAAAGAGAAAGTAGTGAAACTGAAACTTTAACTAAAGGGAAACAAGTATGCAACAGTTTTTGAAAAAGATGTACAGGAGATCTCTGCAACCATTACTACGACAAAAAATGAAAAAGCTGTCTAAGCTACTATGAAAAAGCTATCTAATCTCACTGTAAGCAGTGGTTTCGAGAGAAACAGGTGATAATCCCCCTCTAATCCACTCTTGTGAGGCCCCATCTGGAGTACTGCATCCAAGCCTGGGGTCCCCAGTATAGGAAGGACATGGAGATCTTGGACCAGGCCCAGAGGAGGGCAACTAAGAGAGTTGGAGCACCTCTCCTATGAGGAAAGGTTGAGAGAACTGTGCTTGTTTAGCTTGGAGAAGAGAAGGTTCCCAGGAGACATCATTTCCCTTCCCTACTTGAAGGGAAAATATAAACAAGAGGTGGAATGGCTGTTTACCAGGCTGAACAGTGATAGCACAAGGAGGAATGGTTTTAAACTGAGGCAGGGGAGGTTTAGGTTAGATATTAGGAGGAAGCTTTTCACTCAGAGGCTGGTGACACACTGGAACAGGCTGCCCAAGGAGGCTGTGGATGCCCCATCCCTGGAGGCATTCCAGGCCAGGCTGGATGTGGCTCTGGGCAGCCTGGTCTGCTGGTTGGCGATCCTGCATATAGCAGGGATGTTGAAACTCAATGATCACTGTGGTCCTTTTCAACCCAGGACATTCCATGATTCTAAGATTCTGTGATTCTTTATAGCCATGAAATGGGTATTTTCTAAGTATGCATGCATTTTTTTGTGTAAACATTTCTAAAAAATTGAATTATTTGTACTTAAAAATGCTAATTACTTGTTAAGGCTGAAGAGATAACAACAAACACATTCTGAATCCTTCATTAGAGGAATATTTTCTGTGTATGAGAATGATAATAGAGCCTTCCATTACTGTACATAGAAAATGAAGAAACTAAATAACCTCAAATTTTACTTTACTTTATAGGTATAAACAGAGTTGTTATAAACACTGTCCAGACAATACCTACAGTGATGAAACTTCCCTGCAATGTAAAGAGTGTCCTAGCAACTGTGATAGCTGTGACAAGAACAAATGTGACTTTTGTAAGGAAGGCTTTTATCTCTCAGGTAAGCAAAATAATATGTGGCATATACATGAAAGCATATCAGAGGTTTTCCTTAGTGAAAGAGCCTGTATTCAACTTTGTGAGTTCAAAGATCTCTCCTATGGCACAGAGTAGAAGCCAGGGATGTATATGTATATATACATAAAAGATACCACTCCAAATATTTGACAACAAATAGCCAATGCTGGGGGGTGGGGATTTTTTCCCTTTTTTTAATTGTGTATATATATATGTATTACATATATATATATGATGCATATGTATATATACATACATATCAACTCAAATCTGTTTAATTCAGTCTGTGTGAAAGGAGAGGCTTTCCACTCACAGAAAGCCATACACAGAAACATTTCCTTACTGTGGACTTCAAGGTCCACTTAAAGTAATGATTCTTAAACACTGTCAAAAGACTTCTGTTCAGTTACAAAGTTTCACATCAGATTCACACAAGACTCTGAATCCGATGACTTTATCAGGAAAATATGAATCAGTCAGGTCTAGTTCAGACATAGTGCCAAATATGAAAGTCAGGTAATATTGAGGTTATGGTGTTTTCATGCATTGTCTTCTGTGCATGCCCAAAAGTGAGCTAAAAAATGCAGCACATTTACAGAACACTGTGATCACAACATGAAGTAGCATAGTGGCCTATTTTTCTTTTAACTGAAAAATTATCCTTGCAACAACTTCAAAGGATTTGCAAACGCATTCAAACACCTGAGCTGAATCAGACTTATCTGAGTTAAGCTTTGAATTCACTAGATACTGGAGATTCATCTAATCCTCAAAATATGTATACATCAAGCAATTTTAGGGAATTCTACATTTAGATTTTATAGAGTCAATAGAAAAAAAAATTGTATTTAATCACAAAACTTAGATTCACACTAAGATTTGTGTTAGATGTGTATATACAGGATTTAAGGTATGGATGAAAACCCACCTGCATACTGATTTCAGTGCAGGTGGTTCAAAGTTCCTCAAATTTTGTAGAAGCAGCTGAACTGAATTGAGGATTCACCAAATTTAGTTTCTACCAAAATGTTCACTACTTCAATATATATTGCTTGTTTGTCTTAATCTGTTTATTGCTGGAGGCAGATATGTGCTCTAGATGAGGTATCTTCTTGTCCTGATTGGCTGGGGTCAGTTGACAACCCAGTGCTGGGCTCTGGTTCTCCTGCAGGTGGCACATGCGTGACAGAGTGTGGAGATGGCTTCTTCACTGATGACATGTCTCGAGAATGTGAACCTTGTCACAAGAGCTGCACAACATGTGTTGGATACAGCTATGAGAATTGCACTGCATGCCCAAAGGATTTCCAGCTTTCTCATGGACAGTGTCTGAATCCAAGAAATTATCCACCCAGTGGGAAATTCTGGAGTGGTAAGTTGCAACAGACCCCTTTATCTTTTCTTTGAAAATACTAAAAGCTTCAAAAAGAGAACATCAGCATCGTGCAATCTGAGTGAAACTACAGTTCAACACACTATCATTTAAAAAAATATACTGACTAAAAACATTGCTTTCATCACAAACAGAAATCCATCTCCTTGCAAATAGCATGACATTTTAATTGCCTTATCTGAAATACTGAGTGTTATTTTATCTAAATATATGAAGGTTTAAATTTTTTTTTTTCTCCCCTCCCATTAAAAAAGATAAAAAAGAAAACGGTCCCTGGGAGCCCTTCAGGCTATATTTGAGACCAAAACTTTGGCTATTGATTCCCTACAGATTGGTGAATATAAGTTGGAGGAAACAAAAAAGAACCAAATGTATGTTTGTGGTTTACTTAACAGCAACATTTCTTCTTTCTCCTCCTCTCCCAATCAAGAGGAAATGCATTCCACATTACACATGCACTGTCCAAAGGAGTGAATACAGAATGCAAAGCTGCACTGACTTGTGAGTACAATGAATCTAGACAGCAAGGCTTGCAATTGGTGCTTTTAAACAGTATGCACACCATGCCTTCCAACACATAGTAGGATTTCCTCTAGAGTTTCAGTGTCTGCATAGCTGGTCACTGTAA